ACATTCAAAGAAAACTTTATATTGGAAAAAGTACCTATTTCGTGGTTTCATGATTTTCTTCCTTTTTTTAGCTCACCGGGGCCCTTTGGCCCCATGTGAGCTTATGCCATCACTTGGCGTCCTCCGTCGTCTGTCGTCATAAACTATTTCAAAAATCTTCTCCTCTGCAACTACTGGGCCAAAAACCTTCAAACTTTAACTAAATGTTCCTTAGGGTATCTAGTTTATAAATTGTATTCGAAGTTTTGATCCATCGACAAACATGGCCGCCATGGCTAAAAATAGAACATAGGGGTCAAATGCAGTTTTTGGCTTATATTTCAAAAACTAAAGCTTTTAGAGCAAATCTGACATGGGGTAAATTTGTTCAATTGGTCAAGATCTATCAGCTATGAAATTTTCAGACGAATCAAACAACCCATTGTTGGGTTGCTGCCACCCAATTGGTAGTTTTAACAAAATTTTGCAGTTTTTTGTTATTATTTTGAATATTACTATAGATATATATAAACTGTAAGCAGCAATAATGTTCAGCAAAGTAAGATCTACAAAAAAGTTTATATGACCATAATTTTCAATTGACCTCTTAAGGAGTTATTGCCCTTTAAAGACAATTTTACACAATTTGTTCATCAAGTTTGCTAACATTTAAAAATCTTCTCCTCTGAAACTACTGGGCCAATTACCTTCAAACTTTAACTAAATGTTCCTTAGGGTATCATGTTTATAAATTGTATCCGAAGTTTGTATCCATCGACAAACATGGCCGCCATGGCTAAAAATAGAACATAAGGGTCAAATGTAGTTTTTGGCTTATATCTCAAAAACTAAATCTTTTAGAGCAAATGTGACATGGGGTAAAATTGTTTAATTGGTCAAGATCTATCGGCCCTGAAATTATCAGACAAATCGAACAAACCATTGTTGGGTTGCTGCCGCCGAATTGGTAGTTTTAACAAAATTTTGCAGTTTTTTGTTATTATTTTAAATGTTACTATAGATATATATAAACTGTAAGCAGCAATAATGTTCAGCAAAGTAAGATCTACAAAAAAGTTAATATGACCAAAATTGTCAATTGACCCCTTAAGGAGTTATTGCCCTTTAAAGACAATTTTACACAATTTGTTCATCAAGTCTGCTAACATTTAAAAAATCTTCTCCTCTGAAATACAGGTGAGCGATTCAGGCTCTTGAGAGCCTCTTGTATAGATCATATTAGTTATTAGGAAGTCTGGCAGTATAAATGAGCCTTGGAGAGCTAAAAATAAATGTATACAAAGATACATATAGTTTAGTTTATAAATTGACATTTTTCCAGAATTTGTTCCACCTATATACATTCTTAATATTTTAATATCCCATTAAGCAACCAGTCATTTTGTGTTTAGATAACAAATCAAGACTTCCTTCAAAATAAACAGGGTAGAATGAATGCTGGACTTTATCCAAATCCTTGTCTTGATGAGATAGTATATATGTTGACCTAATAAACCAAATGTCAACTGACCAGTGAGCTAAGATAAATAAATAAATCTACAATCTTCAAATGTGTAACAACTGTGAATTTACGATTTTGTGATCCTGATCATAAGATTATGTTAGTAAATCATCTCCCTGCTGAGATAGACATATAGATGACTACTCATAGATTAACTGTAGGTTTTCTTGAAAACATTCATTTTATATTTAATTTTAAATGATGTGTGCTTTGCTGGATATCAGCAATTGAAAACACACTTATTTTTGCTGTCTGCTTTTCAAATGTCTTAAAAGTTTGATATCTCTTTTTACCCAGAGAGCCTGTGGGTCAGTCTAGTAATTAGAACATAACATTTTTTTGGTTTTTACCTAAATTAAGACTTCTATAAAGTTTAAGGATATCTGAATTCCAGAGCAATCTTCATTGAAAAATTCCACATATCAAGAACTGAAGATGAATAATCTGTATTAGTGTTGGCAATTGTCAATTTCTTGAGAACATATGGTGAAATATTCATGTCTATTATGGTTATTTAGTGCTATTTAGTGTTATTTAGTGCTATTTAGTGTTATTTAGTGCTATTTAGTTGCTGTCATATTTATAGTTATTTCAAATCCAAGTTGACAGCCACTGTAATTAATAAGATGTTTTATAAAGCCTCTGGTTGCAATGCCTTATTGTAGTTTCAATTTTGTATTATTCTAATTTTTTATGCCCCTTGCCGTAAGTGACAGGGGCATTAAGTGTTACCCTTGACCGTCCTTCTTTGCATCCTTCTGTCCCATTTTCGTTTCTGCACTCAACTTAAGTTTGTCTCATGCAAATTTTATAAAACTCATACACAATGCTCTTTTATCTTATTTAATGCTTTCTATGATTGTGTATGTTGACTAAGGTTTCAATAGTGTTTTAGAGTTATCTCCCTTCCACCATATTTTCCATTATTATAAATTCTCTTAGGAAAATAACCAATCCTAATGCAATTGTACAGAGTCAGAACTGTATTATAATGTTACAATCCTACAATTCCCATACCAAATCATCACCAATTAGTACGCCGTCTTCAACATATTGAACTTTTGGAAAATCAATTCTTGGACAGTTATAACCATACTATAGAGAAATAGCCAATGTCCATTAAGTCTTATAGTGTTGCTAAGCAGATGCTTTTCATCATTCACTATGACACTTTGTGTTATAGGCAAATAATGATTATTTCAATCTGACTTACTTGATTTGGGTCTTCCAAACAGAAAAAGAAATGTTCTTTAGTAAGAGTTCCATATGACAGGACAAGAAGAGAACAGAGAGGTGCCACAGGAGAAATTAAGTTTCTTTGGACAGCAAATAAAGCATAATTCTGTAAAAGTCATATCCTTCAATTTTTTCAACAGTTGTATGTACATACATCAATACTTTTATCTAGATGCAGATAAATGAAAGTAAGCTTTATAATTTTTGTAAATCCAAAGAAATATTCATAATTGCCATTCAGTTTTTATACGACCGCAAAACAATTTTTGTGGTCGTATATTGGTATGACGTTGGTGTCGTCGTCGTCGTCGTCGTCGTCCGAAGACACATTGGTTTTCGCACTCTAACTTTAGTTTAAGTGAATGGATCTTTATGAAATTTTACCACAAGGTTCAATACCACAAAAGGAAGGTTGGGATTGATTTTGGGGGTTATGGTAATAACAGTAAAGGAATTAGGGGCCAAAAAGGGGCCAAAAATAAGCATTTTTGTAACTTCCAGATATAACTTGTGTGTTAGTGTATGGATCTCTCTGACATTGTACCACAAGGTTCCATATCACTAAAGGAATGCTGGGATTGATTTTGGGGGTAATTGCCTCCAAATTTTAGGAATAAGGGGCCAAAAAAGGGGCAAAAAACAAGCATTTTTCTAGTTTCATGACAATAACTTGTGTGGAAGTGTATGGATCTTTCTGAAATTGTACTACAAGGTTCCATATCACAAAGGGAAAGCTGGGTTTGAGTTTGGGGGTAATTGCCCTAAACGTTTAGGAATTTGGGGCCAAAAAGGGGCCAAAAAACACATTTTTTTCTAGTTTCCAGACAATAACTTGTGTTCAAGTGTATGGATCTCTCTGAAATTGTACTGCAAGGTACCATACCACAAAGGGAAGGCTGGGATTGAGTTTGGGGGTGATGAATCATAATGGGGGTTCAAAAAATTTTGGGGGGGGATTTATTTTTTTTTCCTTTTTATACGACCGCAAAAATTAAAAATTTTTTGGTCGTATATTGGTATGACGTTGGCGTCGTCGTCGTCGTCGTCGTCGTCGTCGTCCAGCGTCGTCTGGCGTCGTCCGAAGACACATTGGTTTTCGCACTCTAACTTTAGTTTAAGTGAATGGATCTCCATGAAATTTCACCATAAGGTTCAATACCACGAAAGGAAGGTTGGGATTGATTTTGGGGGTTATGGTACCAACAGTTAAGGAATTAGGGGCCAAAAAGGGGCCAAAAATAAGCATTTTTGTAACTTTCAGACAATAACTTGTGTGTAAGTGTATGGATCTCTCTGACATTGTACCACAAGGTTCCATATCACAAAGGGAAGGCTGTAATTGATTGTGGGGGTAATTGCCTCAAAATTTTAGGAATAAGGGGCCAAAAAAGGGGCAAAAAAAAAGCATTTTTCTAGTTTCATGACAATAACTTGTGTGTAAGTGTTTGGATATTTCTGAAATTGTACTACAAGGTTCCATATCACAAAGGGAAAGCTGGAATTGAGTTTGGGGGTAATTGCCCGAAACGTTTAGGAATTGGGGGCCAAAAAGGGGCCAAAAATAAGCATTTTTCTAGTTTCCAGACAATAACTTGTGTTCAAGTGTATGGATCTCTCTGAAATTGTACTGCAAGGTACCATACCACAAAGGGAAGGCTGGGATTGAGTTTGGGGGTGATGAATCATAAGGGGGTTCAAAAAATTTGGGGGGGGGGGATTTTTTTTTTTTTTTTTTTTCTTTTTTTCCTTTTTTTTTTCTTTTAAAATTTTCCATTTTAAGTTGGTTATTTCTGATTTATATTTAAAAGCAAATAATAATGATATGGTAGGAGATACACACCAAACAGGATGTGTAAATTATTATATAATAAGTATTGTGCAATAGCAAGAAATTTTCAATTGCACAGTATTGCACAATAGCAAGAAATCTTCAATTGCGCAGTATTGCGCAATAGCAAGAAATCTTCAATTGCACAGTATTGCGCAATAGCAAGAAATATCCAATAGCACAATATTGCGCAATAGCAAGAAATTGTCAATTGTACAGTATTGCGCAATAGCAAGAAATATTCAATTGCACAGTATTGTGCAAAAGAAGATACTTCGTATAAATTGCTTATTTCTTGATCAATTTCAATGGGGTTTTATTCTTGAATTCTTGGGGTTCTTTAATATGCTGAATCTAACCGTGTATTAAGTTTTTGGATTTTGGGCCCCGTTTTTAAATTGGTCCACATTGAGGTCCAAAGGGTCCAAAATTTAACTTTGTTTGATTTCATCAAAAATTGAATTATTGGGGTTCTTTGATATGCCGAATCTAACCGTGTATTTAGATTTTTAATTTTGGGTCCCGTTTTTTAAATTGGTCTACATTAAGGTCCAAAGGGTCCAAAATTAAACTTAGTTTGATTTTAACAAAAAATGAATTCTTGGGGTTCTTTGATATGCTGAATCTAAACATGTGTTTAGATTTTTGATTATGGGCCCAGTTTTCAAGTTGGTCCAAGTTGGGGTCCAAAATTAAACTTTGTTTGATTTCAACAAAAATTGAATATATGGGGTTCTTTGATATGCTAAATCTAAACATGTATTTAGATTTTAGATTTTTGGCCCAGTTTTCAAGTTGGTCCAAATTGGGGTCCAAAATTAAACTTTGTTTGATTTCAACAAAAATTGAATATATGGGGTTCTTTGATATGCTGAATCTTACCATGTATTTAGATTTTTTATTTGTGGGCCCGCTATCAAATTGGTTCATATTGAGGTCAAAAGGGTCCAAAATTAAACTTTGTTTGATTTCATCAAAAATTGAATTATTGGGGTTCTTTGATATGCCAAATCTAACCGTGTATTTAGATTTTTAATTTTGGGTCCTGTTTTTTAAATTGGTCTACATTAAGGTCCAAAGGGTCCAAAATTAAACTTAGTTTGATTTTAACAAAAATTGATTTTTTGGGGTTCTTTGATATGCTGAATCTAAACATGTGTTTAGATTTTTGATTATGGGACCAGTTTTCAAGTTGGTCCAAGTTGGGGTCCAAAATTAAACTTTGTTTGATTTCAACAAAAATTGAATATATGGGGTTCTTTGATATGCTGAATCTAAACATGTATTTAGATTTTAGATTTTTGGCCCAGTTTTCAAGTTGGTCCAAATTGGGGTCCAAAATTAAACTTTATTTGATTTCAACAAAAATTGAATATATGGGGTTCTTTGATATGCTGAATCTTACCATGTATTTAGATTTTTTATTTGTGGGCCCGCTATCAAATTGGTTCATATTGAGGTCAAAAGGGTCCAAAATTAAACTTTGTTTGATTTCATCAAAAATTGAATAATTGGGGTTCTTTGATATGCCAAATCTAACCGTGTTTTTAGATTTTTAATTTTGGGTCCCGTTTTTTAAATTTGTCTACATTAAGGTCCAAAGGGTCCAAAATTAAACTTAGTTTGATTTTAACAAAAATTGAATTCTTCGGGTACTTTGATATGCTGAATCTAAACATGTGTTTAGATTTTTGATTATGGGACCAGTTTTCAAGTTTGTCCAAGTTGGGGTCCAAAATTAAACTTTGTTTGATTTCAACAAAAATTGAATATATGGGGTTCTTTGATATGCTGAATCTAACCATGTATTTTGATTTTGGACATTGGACCATAATAGGTAAATTAAAAAAATTGAAGTTCTTAGACCACATTCTTTCTGTGTCAGAAACCTATGCTGTGTCAAATATTTAATCACAATCCAAATTCAGAGCTGTATCAAGCTTGAATGTTGTGTCCATACTTGCCCCAACTGTTCAGGGTTCGACCTCTGCGGTCGTATCAAGCTGCGCCCAGCGAAGCATTTTATTTTTATTTTTTTCCTTTTTTGTTTCTTTTAAAATTTTCCATTTTAAGTTGGTTATTTCTGATTTATATTTAAAATCAAATAATAATGATATGGTAGGAGATACACACCAAACAGGATGTGTAAATTATTATATAATAAGTATTGTGCAATAGCAAGAAATTTTCAATTGCACAGTATTGCACAATAGCAAGAAATCTTCAATTGCACAGTATTGCACAATAGCAAGAAATCTTCAATTGCACAGTATTGCGCAATAGCAAGAAATATCCAATAGCACAATATTGCGCAATAGCAAGAAATTGTCAATTGTACAGTATTGCGCAATAGCAAGAAATATTTAATAGCACAGGATTGTGCAAAAGAAGATACTTCCTATAAATTGCTTATTTCTTGACCAATTTCAATGGGGTTTTATTCTTGATTTCATGGGGTTCTTTAATATGCTGAATCTAACCGTGTATTTAGTTTTTGGATTTTGGGCCCCGTTTTTAAATTGGTCCACATTGAGGTCCAAAGGGTCCAAAATTAAACTTTGTTTGATTTCATCAAAAATTGAATTATTGGGGTTCTTTGATATGCCGAATCTAACTGTGTATTTAGATTCTTAAATTTTGGTTACGTTTTCAAATTGGTCTACATTAAGGTCCAAAGGGTCCAAAATTAAACTTAGTTTGATTTTAACAAAAATTGAATTCTTAGGGTTCTTTGATATGCTGAATCTAAACATGTATTTAGATTTTTGATTATGGGCCCAGTTTTCAAGTTGGTCCAAATCGGGGTCCAAAATTAAACTTTCTTTGATTTCAACAAAAATTGAATATATGGGGTTCTTTGATATGCTGAATCTAACCATGTATTTAGATTTTTGATTTTTGGGCCCCGTTATCAACTTTGTCCACATTGAGGTCAAAAGGGTCCAAAATTAAACTTTGTTTGATTTCATCAAAAATTGAATTATTGGGGTTCTTTGATATGCCGAATCTAACCGTGTATTTAGATTCTTAATTTTTGGTTCCGTTTTCAAATTGGTCTACATTAAGGTCCAAATGGTCCAAAATTAAACTTAGTTTGATTTTAACACAAATTGAATTCTTAGGGCTTTGATATGCTGAATCGAAACATGTATTTAGATTTTTGATTATGGGCCCAGTTTTCAAGTTGGTCCAAATCGGGGTCCAAAATTAAACTTTGTTTGATTTCAACAAAAATTGAATATATGGGGTTCTTTGATATGCTGAATCTAACCATGTATTAAGATTTTTGATTTTTGGGCCCCGTTATCAACTTTGTCCACATTGAGGTCAAAAGGGTCCAAAATTAAACTTTGTTTGATTTCATCAAAAATTGAATTCTTGGGGTTCTTTGATATGCTGAATCTAACCATGCATTTAGATTTTGGATATTGGACCATAATAGGTGAATGTCCAATTTAAAATTTTTAAGTTCTTAGACCACATTCAATCTGTGTTAGAAACCTATGCTGTGTCAAATATTTAATCACAATCCAAATCCAAAGCTGTATCAAGCTTGAATGTTGTGTCCATACTTCCCCCAACTGTTCAGGGTTCGACCTCTGCGGTTGTATCAAGCTGCGCCCTGCGGAGCATTTTATTACTTTTACTTTGCTTTGTTATCAGAAAGATAGACAAGACTCAAAAACACATCTTTGATTCCCATTTTTCAAATGGATTTTATTTTTTTGGGGTTTTATTCAGGGGGAGAGGAGGTGGAATGCAATTTTAGTTCTCTTCTGTTGATCACTTACTCAGTCCGTTGAGGCTTTACATCTAGATAAAGTCCGTTGAGGCTTTACATCTAGATAATCGATAATTTCATTATTTTAACCAGTTATTAATGAATACTTTAGAGCCCACTTTAAATGGTGACAATATGCATATAGAATTGCTGCAAATATGCTCTTAATTTTCAAGCAAGAAGTATTGTTGCATATATTCAGTGAAATTTGAAGCTTGTAATGTTTTAGCTTATTGAGAATGTAATTATGTTCCTGTTGGCTCTTAAAAAGTAAAACCAATTGAATAATAGATCATCAGTTAATTTTTATACTGATTAAACAACACTATGCAATTTTCTGTTATTCTCAGCATTTAAGTTAACCAAAATATAATTAAATCGGATTAAAACTAAAGAAGGCATTTTGAAATCTGTAGTTCTAAGTTCCACATACACATATTCCATTGATGTTAAGAGGACAGTAAACAATGAAAACAGAAGGGTTTGAATTTGAGAAAAAAAAGGCCTTTAACATTATTAAGCCAGCTTCCTGTTTCTGAAGAATACAATGGAAATTATTTGCATTTGTAAAGTGAATTTGAAAATATATCTATGTAAAAAAAAAGTTTTAAAAAGGGCAAATTTTTATTGAATGAAATTTGATTTCTAAAAATAAAATGCATATAGAAATCTTTTTAAAGTTATTTCTATAAATTATTGGTGTATTGAAGTATAATTGATCCGTTGATTGGATTGTTATTATCAACAATTAGTTATCAATACACATTATCTCTTTGTGTCTTCAGGGCAGTAGACAGTATTGATTATTGATCAGTTGTCTCCCTTTCAAGGTGTGATAATACTGTTTGTGTATTACATAGTGATCAATAAACCTGCAGGTGCAAAAGTATTTACCTATACCTCAAGGCAATTTATTGTTATGTCTGATCATGTGACTAAACAGTTATGACCCAATATTAAAGGTGAAAATCGTTCAAGTATGTGACCAGTTTCTTAATATGGGAAGTGAACCATGTGAACTTGTAAAAACAATGGTGGACCTATTTAACTTTTGAATTTATTTGAGTTATTGAAATCAAATAGAAAGTTTTTAACAAGATGGGAGATGATCTAAATATTCCTACACCTCACAGAAATCGTTTAATGAGACTGTCAAGATCTGTTAGCCATGATATGAACAACAGGTAAAATTGTTTGTTTACATATTTATATATTGTTTTATCTGTTTGTTGAGGACAAACTTTCAAAGGTATTTTGATATATATACCTTTGTTTGTGTATTAAAGTTACTCTGTCTTTGTTCAAATTAAATACGATTTGAATAACAATATTTATAAATGCAAGACAGTACTAGTATCTGCGTCCTTTATTGTGAATGTGAAGGACTTACAAATCTAGTGAAAAGTGTAAACAAATAGGTGAGTCAGTCATACTAATAGGTCAACTTTTTACTTCTCAATATTTAAAATTTGAATGATTATCAGACTAAATACAGTAATTTGGTAGTATGGACTTAAGGAAGTATATGTTGGATGCATTTATATTATACTGTATCAAAGCCAGGGAAAATGCAGACAAGGTAAAATTCTAAAGAAGACTAGAAATGTCTTAAAAATGCAATATTAGTCAGACTTAAAAGTAAATTTTGTATTGCATTCGCTGTTTGCTGTACTAGTAATTCTAATATCTGGGAAGATGCCATTGCTTCAAAGGTAGTAGCTTTCATGGGGGAATACCTGATAGCTCAAAATCAAAAATTTTACAAAAATCATGCAATGAAATGCAAATTTTCTTTGTTTTTCATAATCAAATGATTTTTTCCCGAAAATCTTAAACAGAATCTAATATAGCAGTGATGAAATAAAAAGGCAGAGAAGATTCAAAGAAGACAATTAAGGTGGTACCTAACACTACAGGGAGATAACTCTGTAAAAATCAGCTAAACGTTTTAATTAAGTTGTATTGTTAAGGAAATATTACGCTTCTCAATGATCAAAATTAGTGTTTGTCAAACTGCTATATAACCAACGAAATTTTTCTGATAAAGTGTGTGGTTCAAATTCTTTGAAATTTTTATATTTTTGTCAAAGGGTCAAAGTAAACATTATGTCAAAATTTTATGAAAATTTAACGAGCCAAATTAATTTTAGTCAAGGTGTTGGGTACCACCTTAAGATCCTTAAGTGGAAGACAAAAGTGGGGGTTTGAATTCTGATGTGCCTAAGGGGCAGCAACTCCAGCTCCATTACTGACTCCTGACAAAATATGTCAATGAGTGATATGCAATAAAGCATCATTATACTATAAAGGATTGTTAAAAGTCCCTTGTCATACCCTATCATATCCACAAATTGTATATACTGTTGATACATCTAACTCTAAAACAAGACCAAATGTGATTGTTGATTGAAATGAAAAATAAGTTATTTCAGAACAGTCTCAGGATTGACAAGACTGTCATTGGTAAGAGCATTAAAGACATTGAATAATAAAATAGTATTAATTTAGATACAATACTGAAAACTAGCTAAAGTGAAATTATGATCAATGGCCTTCTCAATAAATTATAAAGTACCAATTACATAGGAATGTATATTAAACAGTTGCAGCCTCCTTTTTTGAGAAGTTTTTATTTGCTTATTTTTTTTTAACATTTTAGCGTATCAGTTTTATATATTGTTTGTGATAGCAAAGTTGCTACATCAAGTTTAAAGTACTGATTCCATATTAAAAAAAAACCTGAAAACTTCCCTCATTTTGGGATAATTACCCATTTGCTGGGTTTTGCACAACCTTATGATATCACAGCTACTAGGTCCTTGTGAAGGATTTTCCATGTTTATATCATATATGGTCTTTTTCACACTGTAATACAATAAATATTGTAGTTTTATAAGTGAGTAAACATGACACTTTATTTCTTGAAGAAGTTTGTCGGGATTGTTTAGTCACCATTAAGCTCAGACATAAGGATATTAGCAACACATGATTTATAATCAATTAACAACAGTACTTAGAGGGTAGAAATAAGTGTGTCAATACCCATTGTAATAAGGCTGTTAATGGTAATTTACAGTATCAGTGTGGATTAAAACTTCCTAATACTTATAAACCATATTGATTGTCTGCTAGGAAGAACAGTAAGAATCTTATTTATATAAAGAAATATTTATAAAATGCTTTAATAGGGGCAAATATTCGTATAACTTTCAGTTTAAATGTGCCTTTACTGACACTGATATTCTGAGTCTCAT